GGGGGGGGGGGGGTGGGTCCCCTCCTGGAACCAATCAGAACAGAGTAATCAGAAGCTAAGCAGTGACTCGGCTTCGTGCAAATTTATGAGGGGCTGAAAACCTTTCTGCCTTGCCACGAATGCTCTGAAACGGACCCGAGTCCGTCGCACTCATCGCGACATTACTGTAGTAGTTATTTGTAATCTTAGGCATAACGTATCATTTTATATTCAGTTAAATATATTTTAGTTTATAGTACACTTCCCCAGTTTTGCTTCACGAAGCCCATTCAAATTTCACATAAGTATATTACAGACAGTTTATGGCATTATTCGATATACTCAGAAAATTCTGGCACACAAATTGAAGACAGTGACAGTTATGTCTGTCCACGATTCAATTGCAATATTCTAGCGATTTTTAAAACGGAGATGCCGAATACTGAAATAACTGAAAATATTCAGTAAAACGCATAGCATATTTTCTTGAAATATATAGTGCATACTATTTTGTAAAAATGTAAGTAGGTTATAATGTATTTTCTTTCAAATATTCATTTTCTGGTTCATTCAACAGCTGATATTTAAGAGGCGAGTAATGTGTTAATATTCGTCGATGCGGCGTACTCACGATAAGCTCGCGACTTGCCACTACTCGTTGATAAATTTATATCGCGCAGCACGTGGAAGGATGGTGTGATTATGTATGCTAATATGATGTAATTTGAATAATTTCACTCGACTTGATAACACACATAAACATTAATAAATATGACAGAATGTGTATTATTGCTTTGGATCGGCTTCTGATTGGTTAAATGTATTTGTGGAGTAATGGAAAGTTTTGTTTGGTATATGAGATGGAAGAAATGGGGCTTGGCGTATGTATTGTTTTCTGGGATTACAGTGTCCAAATACAATAAGAAAACTGTTCTGAGAACAATGAATGTTTTGCACGTGAAGTGCAGCTGTCCGGAAATCCATGTTTATGACGGGTTGCTGATCATATTCATAGCCCAAAAAGCGAAGATTGTTGTTATCTGATCGATGTCGCAACATTCGTGAAGCAGTATTGTTCAATTTAACGAGCACTAATACCAGGATTTGTAACGACTAACGCTGCAAAGTGTGGTATTTTATCAATCTAGCTAAATTAAATACGTGGAGGACCACTGATAGGTTTTAGACAAAAAGAATCAAAACAAATGTTGTATCTATCGTAATTGTCTTTTTATTGCACAAAAAATGTTTATTTTTTTTATGGAGCCTATATTAAAAAAGATACTTTTAGAAACTTATAAATCATTTTTCTATTTCATTCCAAGAACTTTTTAAATAACCGTCGTAAAATGAAGAGTAAAATAACATTAGAATTTTATTAACGTATCGATCAATGACGCAAAATGAATTATAGGATTTATATATTTTAAGTCAAAATATACATACGTCTATAAAAATCACATTAATAAAAATTGAGGATGGTCGAAAATAACCGAAATAAAACTCTCGTCAAGGATGATGGTTACCGCGTAACCAAAAAAAAATTTCTGTCATCATTCATGATTATCGGCAACCAACATAAAAATCTCGTAGTCGATAATGATTATGTGCAACTAAACACAATTTCCGTCATTGATCATGGTTGTACGTAACCAATATAATTTCTGTAATCAATAATGGTTATTCGTAACCAAAACAAATTTCCGACATCGGTAATTGATATTGATAACCAAAAAAAATTTCAGTCATTTATAATGGTTGTCCGTTACCAAAATCATTCACACAAAGATATTAACTCTTATACCGTCACTTTTTAAATTATGGTTATAACAGTTAAGGTCTCTGGTTTAGAATCCATTGTTACTAAGAAATCAAGTTAACATTAAACACACTCAATATCAAAAAGATGAGATTTAATGATATTTTTACACCTTCTTGAAATTCAGTAACTTGTTTTCTTATTGTTGACACTGTAAAAAATAATTTATTTAAATAACATTACCTTATTTTAAATCTTCAGCCAGTTAATCAAAAATAAAGTTTTTTTCTTACAGTTACACGTATTCGAAAATGATTGAAATTAACATGCGTTCAAAATTGGCGTTTCATTTTATAATTATTGACAAGCATACTATTGCACTTTTAAGTCTGTATAAAAGTTAATGTTTATAATTCTGGACTTCTTTGGATTTGATATAAACAAAAAAACATCAACAGGGATCATTAAGTATGAAATATCCGATTACCTCAAGTACCAAGTTCAATACCTGATACGTCTGATATTTCACTTTGACATTTTTGTTTATTTTTGTTGTGAAGATACGTCATCAGCCTTTCAGACGCATATTTTATTTTGTGATTATCTGTCAAATGGGCTTTAGCAGATTACATTTTGTATATCATGAATAAATAAAAAATTCGCGTTGTTTTCAAATATGAGTTCCGTCGTGGAACTAATGCAGCGCAGACAACTCGAAGTGTCAACGAAGTGTTTGGCAAGGGATGTGGCTGATGAAAGCACAGTACATCGATGGTTTGAGAACTACCAATCTGGCGATTTTGATCGTCAAAATGAACCACGTGGGCGACCTGAGAGCAAGGTGTATAATGATGAGCTGAAAGCTGCATGGGATGCGAATACATCTCAAACTACGTGTGAATTAGTAGCAAGGTTTGACGTTACTATTCCAGCAATATTAAACCATTTGAAACAAATCGGTAAGGTTAAGAAGCTGGATAGATGGGTTCCGCATGAATTAAACGAGCGTCAGAAGAGAAATCGTTTCGAAGCTTGCCTTTCTTTGCTGTCGCGACATAAAGGCGAACCATTCTTACACCGTATTGTTATATGTGATGAAAAATGGATTCTTTTCGACAATCTCAAGCGTTCGGCACAATGGTTGGATAAAGATGAAGTGCCAAAACACACTCGGAAACCGAATATTCAGCAAAAAAAGCTAATGGTGTCTGTTTGGTGGTCCAGCACTGGTGTTTTCCATTACAGCTTAATGAGACCTGATCAATCGATTACGACGGATGTCTACTGTAATCAATTAAACAAAATGATGAAGGAGCTTGGGACTAAGCAGCCGAGATTGGAGAATAGAGACAGGCCAATCCTCTTGCAGGACAATGCTCGACCACATGTCGCACGACTAACTTTGCTCAAACTATAGGAGCTGGACTTGGAAACTCTCTGTCACCCACCGTATTCTCCAGACCTTGCACCAACTGACTACCATTTCTTCCAGACATTGGACCACTTCTTGCAAGGAAAAATATTTAATTCTCAACAAGCCGTAGAAAACGCCTTTCGCGATTTTATTACCACTCACTCTCCAGGCTTCTTCGCTGCCGGCATTAACAAGCTACCGTTAATATGGCAAAACTGAATCGATAGTTTCGGCGCATACTTTGATTAATTATACTGCTTCTTGCTGGTGATATAATGAACTAAACTTTCAGTTTGAAATCGGACAATTCATACTTAATGACCAAATATGTTTAAATAATGTTCAAATTGAAAAGGACACCGAAAACGCGCCAATTTTTGCTGATAATCGTCAATTTATTTCAAAAACTAAGGGTCTAAGCGAAAATCTAAACATAGCACGCGATAGAGTAGACCTTCCTGCTATGGAAGGTGTTAAGGAAAGTTACAAAATCTGTTTTGTTTTCAATAGAGAAGCGAAATAGTTCAGCAAAACACGCGGTGGCGGCAGTGGTACTCAATGACAGGGTCACCTTGCCTGCGCGTGTCTAGTGTTTCCATTACGCTGAGAGGTAGGCAAGGCGACTGCCGTTATTGAGTACCATTGTCGCTGCTGCGTGTTTTGTTGAACTATTTCGCTTCTCTATTGAACACAAAACAGATTTTGTAACTTTCCTTGACACTTTTCTAGGCAAAAATGTCTGCTCTATCGCGTCCTATGGTTAGATTTTTTCCTGAACCCTTAATTTTGGTAATAAATTGACGATTATCAGCAAAAAATTGGTGCGTTTTCGGTGTCCTTTTCACTTTGAACATTATTTACACATATTTAGATGTCTATAATATCATCACAATTTATATCACTTTTGTTCGGAAGAGTCCAGAGACTTATTTTGTATCAAAAGAAACTGAATATCTGTTACCATAAAAGCATAACACAGATACAAAGTTGAAAAATTGCAATTTTCTTAAAAATTAATTTTTTCAAAAACTGGATGTGCTGTGAAGAAACGGTTTGCAGATTCGTATTCAGCTCATAAAGATCTATCAAAAACGTCTATTAGAAATTACAAGTTGTTTTACGTGTTGAACAGTGTAATTCTCGGGTCGAATTCGATCAGCGTCACGGCAGACTATGCGTTACGTCGTGGGAGATCATTGTGCCGACACCTGTGGGCCACCTCGCTCAATTACAACGGCATCCTTTCTAGCCACTGCCAAGATTTTGTCTGGCCGCCTGTTTTCTGGCTTATATCTAAGGCCGGGGCGACACAAGCGTTTCTGTCGGACGACACAAATCGAACGATTTTCGTTTTGTAGACGGCCAATAATCGTCTAATTATCGGACGACGGAAAAATCGAGAAACATGAGCCGGTCGATCGTAAACGATCGCACTTCTCAATTAATTTTTTTTGCCCTTCATTAATTAATGACCCTACATTTATCGTACACATTTTAAAATAAAATTTGTTCCGTCGTATAATTATATGCCGGAACAGCGAAACTCCTTCCTATAATACGAAAATTGTCGTCCGCAACCTTAGATACGTTTTGTAGGCGCAGCTGACCGAGCGACATTTCAGAGACTCAAAATGAAAACATTTCGGAGGTCAGTCGTTCGGTTCAGGCGTATGCGTTCGGTATGCTTGCGTGTGAGAGTGCACTGTTTGTATTGACAGCTAACCGATAGATCACCAAATAACCAAAGGCCAATGGCCCAGGAAGAATTTCAATCCAGCGATCTACCGGCAGCTCGCGACCTACAGGACAGGCAGAGTGAGTGAGTGAGTGAGCGAGTGAGTGAGCGAGTGAGTGAAAGAGAGAGCGAGTGAGTGAGCAAGTGAGTGAGTGAGTGAGCGAGTGAGTGAGCGAGTGAGTGAAAGAGAGAGCGAGTGAGTGAGCAAGTGAGTGAAAGAGAGAGCGAGTGAGTGAGCGAGTGAGTGAAAGAGAGAGCGAGAGCGAGAGCAAGAGTGTGAGGAAGAGGGAGAGGGACCGAGGAAGAGAGGAAGAGAGGGTGAGAGGGAGAGAGGTAGAGAGGGAGAGAGGGAGAGAGA